GGAGGAGAGAGAGAGAGAGGAAAGGCGTGTGAAAAAGGGTATTTTGGACTTTTTTTTAGTTCTTTTTGGGTTGGGGAGGTTTTTGTGAAGATAAGTTGTTAATGGGAAAAAGGTGAGAGAATAAAGTTGGATGGGGGTAAGTTGAATATTGGGGGGGGGTTTTGTAATTTTCCCTATTAATTTTCTACTAGAAAATTGTTTTGCAACCACTAGTATACATGCTTCTTATGTGTTTCTAGCTACTACTATTTGGGATAGATTCTTAATCTGTGGAACTCACTTGCCTAATAATAATGGAAAGCTGCTAAGTATACGATGTGAGAGTGTGTTAGAGTTGTGGGGTCAGTCTTTCTTTTGTTGCAAAAATGATATATATAGGTTGGATGCAATAAAAGGTGATTGGGTGGAAGGGAAATCCAAGAATCCATGTTTCCGAATGAACTTCTAACAATAAAAAAGATTAATAACAGGATTTTCTGGAAAGTCCAAAGTCTCCTAAAAATAGAAGGTCCATTTGTATATATAGAAAAGGATATTGCGTCATAGGATGAATTAGCATGTGCAGACTATTCTCCTAATGATAAATCAAAACATAACAAATTCCCAATAAAAAACTATATTTCTTTCTCTTATCTATAAATGAAGCAATATCATTATGAATGTGCATAGTATTCGACACATTATATGACTAAAATTTTGAAATTCTAAAAACCCATTTTATTACCCTATATACCAATGTTCTAAAATTTGCTGAGTCCAATTCGAACTTGGGCAAGTTGCTCCCAACTCTTGGGGGCCCCAACTGTTGATTAAACCGCTGAGTCCTAACTATAATTGTTGGAATTGGGAGTAGGATCGGCAATGGGGTATTATGAAAGACTAGAAGGTCCCTATAGTTGAGAGCACCGTCCGTATGGTACATATGTTAGGGATCGAGATCCCCAATTATTATAGATATCCTTCCCAACCTTTTGTGGATCTTGCTTCCAACCTTTAAGAATATATATAGTCTAGGACTATATGTTACCCCTTAAAGTAGGGATCTCTCTATTTGTTGCTAGCAAGCAATGTAAGTGTATTAATATATAGCTGCATTACTAGCTGACTATAAATAAATAAAATCATCAGTCTGGTCATTATCTTGGCCTTTAAGTGCGGATTGAGATCCTTATCAATGGGCTTTGATATCCTCAACAGTGGCGATCGAGATCATAAAATTTAAAAATCGAGATCTTTTAAAGATCCCTTTTCAAGAACGCTGGAGCAAGATCCGGAAGCAGGGTCCAGCCAGGTTGGTGGATCGCAGCAACTATAGTCCTAAGAGTGAATTGGGCAGTTATTTGTTGGACTCGGGTGACTCCCATAGGATTTTCTAGATTGAGAATATTAAAATAGGGTTTGATGAAAAGGCCCTAAACTTTCTAGAGCTTTGGATCAAATTAACTATGAAAAATAACTTTTCATTTTGTGGGAAGGTTTCCATAATTTGTTATGGTTTGCGTTATCTTTTATCTTTTCATTTCGGGATTTTCTACAGCCTTTTTCTGGACTCAAGCTAGACTTGACGAGTCAACTTGGGACTCATTGAACGGACTCGCCCCAGGCATTGGCTGGAGTCTCCAGGGTTTAAAACTCTGTTATATACTATTTATGCTCTGACTCTTAGCTCCACGTGGCATTGAACAAAAAATTTGTACTCTCTCTTTAACTTTAGTAGGGAAGATATTATTTTCTTATTTGGAGAAGTTTCAATTCTTGGGGTAAATCTAGTAACTTGGAGGGTTTCCTCTTTAATAGATTTCTGATGACTCAAGGACTTGGGTTTCAGGTGTTACCAAGTGTCCAAGTAGCTACTGTTCAGCACTGCAGGTTGGGAAACCTAGGCCTGTTGGGTTTCATGGTTTCATTCTTGCTAGCTCTTGCATAAGCACTAATCTATACCCCTTCCTCATGAGTAACTGGTACATGTGAGAAGATTCGAGTTTGCAGCATAGTTACATTGACACATTTCCACTTATTAACATGAATCATATGTTGCCATGCCTAGACTCGAATTTGCCATTCTGTCTATATGTGTTGGCTGTGTCTAGATGTTAAGCAGGGTTTCTAAACTGCTATCAGAAGCGTTGGCTCACATTTGTCTCTCCTTTTTATGGCAATATTAACCAATCCAACCTCTGAAGTAACAGGAAAGAAAAACCTTTGACACTTGCTATTTAAACTTCCAAGAATACTTGGAAATCTTTTACCCTATTTAATGCTCCATGCATATAAATAGAGTATAGCGAGGATTTTCTTAATGTCTTACCTTATGTTTCTGGAATTAAGATAAAGAAGATTCTGTACATATGCCTCTCTCTTCTAGGGGGAAACAAGAAGATATAGGGCTGAATGTAAGCTTTTTAAAGAAATGCATTGGATTTTTGTATATAGTATGAGACATTGTATTGAAAAAATTGACAATTTTTTTCGGAATTTTATTAACAGTACATTTAATTTGTCATAAATTTTTATATATTTAAAAATATTTGCATGGCATGTTTGTCTGCATTGGTTTTTTACTTGAAGAGTTAGACAGCTAAGACACTGAGCTAGTGTCAGTCTTTATGTAAAACGATTCTATCACAAAGGTGCTTTTGTTCCACTAAATGTGCTATTTCTTTATTTTTTAGTAAAAGGCATAAGAAGTAAGTACGGAATTATTGTATTTAAAGTTTTGCTTGCTATGAAGCATGGATACAGCTGCACCAGGGCTAGGACACCTAATTACTTTGCAATTTTACATGTATTTTTGAAGTATTCAACATGATCACGGATCTCGTTGTTGAAGTATCCATGTATCATAGATTGCAGAACAACATATTTCTAGGCTTCATCGAACACTTCCTATAAAAGAACACCTATATTTGTAATTTATGAATCAAGAATCAGAAGCCGATTACCTGATCATAAATGATTATGTACAATTCTGATGTCCTCTCCTTGAGACGTGCCGAAAAGCTTATGAAAATCCAGGTTATTTTTTTTTCTGTGGATTGTCACTTTTCCTCTTGTGTGTATTCCTCTAGAAACTCATCTGGTGATCTTTAAGTTTTGGGTGTATTTATGCATACCCCTCAGTTTGCCCTTTAACAGCAATAGACAAAGGCTACCCACTTAGGTTTGAAGGTTTTTCATTGGGGAGTATTGCTTGGTGTCGTGTTAGCTACGAAAAGCGTATTTTTTTCTTTTACATCACATGTGGGCATGTGTTGACAGCATAGTCTTTTAAAAAATTATGTAGGCTAAAACCCCTTAATAGAGCCTCTTTTTCTCTATCATTTTGTATATTTTTGAAAGCCCCCTTAATCTTGCGCTAGGATGTTGCTTCCACTGGCTTCGCAGTTTAACCCCATTAGATGAGGTTTGATGTTTTCATTTGAAAGGAAAAATGGATTTGAATATTCTTACTTTCCTTTTGTTTTTTGGCATTTTTTCTTGTTTTTCTAAGGAGTTGTGTGAGACTCTCTGAGAATCCCAATTCAGTTCACCACAGGCTTGGCTTACATTGCATGCCAAGTGCTTGTTTTCAAACATTGGCATCTTCGTGTGTTTTTTTATTTTTATTTATTACATCTTCATTAGTTTTATGAAATAATCCTTTTTGTTTTGGGAGGTAATTTAGTGGTGGGATTGGAAACTAGGATGTTCTCTTCGCAAACCAAAATAACCCCCTTATATTTTGGATCCTTGTTTTATTTATTTTTTGAATCTGTTAACTTTTATATTAAAAGAAAGGTGTACAAGTTACAAAAAATGGCTACCCACAGACCGGGTGCTGTATGCAAGAGACTCTCTCAGAATGTGCAATACAAAAAGAGATAGGTAACCACAAAAGCTATACATCCTTAGAAAAACATCAAAAAGTAAAGGAGCCAAGAGCTCATAGAAGCAAAAATGATTCCGGATGTTGTATACAAGAGATCCACTCGGAATGTGCAATACAAAAACAGATAGGTAACCACAAAAGCTATACATCCTTAGAAAAAACATCAAAACGTAAAGGAGCCAAGAGCTCATAAAGATGCAAAAATGGTTCCGAGTGGGTCGTCGTCTCGATTTGCTGCTCCTTTAGCGAGTTCGTTTGCTGCTGCATTTGCTTCACGCCATGTATGCTTCCATGAGACGTTTGTACCCTGCAAATGTGGAGTATTTTGTCAAAAGTGCGTGCTAATCTCCAAGGGCATTTGGATGAGCCTGATGCCCATGTGATGATGTTTTTGGGGTCACCCTCTTCAACCATGGTTGTATCACAGCTACGGTTGAAGTTCCTAAGGCCTTCTAGGAGGGCGAGGGCCTCTGCAGTGTTTTAATCAGCGTGGCCGATGAACTTAGGGTAGGAGAAGAGTGGCCATCCTTTCATGGTCTCAAACGATACCCCTAATCACAACTGAGCCTGGGTTGCCTAGGGAGCAGCCGTCAGAGTTAAGTTTGGATTGCCCAGGTTTGTGGTTTTGTGGGGGGGTGGGGGTTTCCAAAGGGAAGAATGGGGAATTCAGGTGGACCTTAGGTGCAGAATGGCTTGCCAATTTTGATGAAAGTCCATGTGGCAGAAATGTTTGAGGACAATGTTGTTTTTGGCCCAGAAAATGACAGACTCCTTCACCCTGTTCTTCTTGGAAAGTCCTGTTTGTTCCACTCTGCCCATATAACCCACAGTGTGGCTGCTATGGATGCCCACCTGAGAAGGACTCCCTATTTTGCCGAATGGAAGGGGGTGTAAAGAGCTGAAAAGTTGGGGAACAGACCTCGCTGTCAGGACCAGTTAAAATGCTGTGGCAGGTCCCCCTAGAGATCCCTTGCCACCCTGCAGTGAATGAAGTAGTGGGTGTTGCTTTCTTCGTCCACTGTATACATCATGCATCTATTTGGAATGGGAACTCCCCTTTTTTGGAGCTGGTCGACGTTAAAGTCCTTTCGGTTAGGAAGATCTAGTTGAAAACTTGGATTTTAGGGTGAATGAAGGGGAGTCAGGCCCTCCAGGTGATGAACGGAGGTGAGGCAAGAAGAGTTGGTGATTGGAGTTTGTGGTAGAAAGAGGTGACTGAGAAGAGACCTGAGCAGCAGGAGACCAAATTATCCTATCCTCTTCCTGGGTGGGGAGGAAACAGATTGGAGGTAGGAGGACAGTGCAAGGAAGTTATCCAATGCATTGTCCTCGAGGGGTCTCCTAAAGTTGGGGTTCCAAATTCTAGAGGAGCCCAAGATGTTGAAATGGTCGGCTACTGAGCCCTTGCCATTTCGGGTGAGGAGGAATAGATTAGGGAAATGCTCCTGCAGAGTGGTATTACCCTACCCAGAGGTTCTTGACTTGGTTACCAACCCGTGGCCGGAATCTAATCTTCGAGGTTCAGGCTGTGAAGCATGAATATCCATGCTCCACTTCTAGAATATTTTGGATCCACGTTCTGCGTTTTTTTTTTTCCTTATCTTTTCTACCTGGATAAATGTCACCTGGATTAGTTTGCATAAAGGCAAAGATTACAGATCTATGTAGCAGCATGGGGTTAGTGTTGAAGAAGGGCACACAAGTAATATCTAAATGTTTTTGAGCTACGAAATTAATTGGAAAGTGTTGATTAATGAGCCTTGGAATTGTTTGATCGTGGTTTGAGTCATTTTTCTTGCCTATTTTGACTTCATTTGGAATTATGTGCATGATATTGACTTCTCATGCATGTTATAGTTCAATTTTCTTGTTTTGTGCATTCCCAAAGTTGACCTGACTCAGGCCGAGTTTGATGACATCATTCAAATCCATATTTTTATTTTGTTGGGTATAAATGAATTGAATGATGAAGTACCCAATGATTCTAGAATGATGGGGTATGTTATGAAAAAAGGTGCAGTTTCACACCTGATATCTTTATGATTCGGAGAAACACGAGGCCTCCATTCGTGTATTTGCACTTCCAAATGACTTGTCCTAAACAGAAGTAGTATTAAATAGTTATTGCGTTGCCACTCCTGCAACAGAATCCCCAGTTAATGTGACAACTCGCATTTCAGAATGTGATGCTTCAGTCTCTGGATTTGACGAACGTGAGATCTATCACAATCGTAAGGTATTCGCTCGTCTTACTTTCATTTTTAATTTCTTCTAGATATTCTACTCTCTCAGAGTCATAAAAATAATACCATGGTTCTTCATGCCAGGGCCTTTTTGCAAGAAAGCTCAAGGGCACTGGGGATATTGTGTGGTCTAGTGAGGTTTGGACCTGTGGTAAACAGCTAAGGCATTACCACTCATTTTGCCGAAATGGAACTCTTATAACGGTAGCTTCATCCTTCCACCACTCCCACCTCTCCACTTCTCTCTCTATCTGTCCCAAGTTCAGAATTATAGCACATTCATGATATTTGTTTATCATTTTATGTTTCATGTGGGCGAGGCCATACTTTGTGGCTCACACACACTCCAAATAAATGTGTTATTCCCCTGTAAGTTTTAACTACAATTGAGCCCCTTGATCTATTTTCTCTAAAGTAAAGAATAAAAAAAGACAACTAGAAGTACTTCACCATGGGGGTTTGAATGTTCTGAAACATGCCTGTACACAAACACATTTTCAAGTAATAATTGTGGAGGAGGGGGTGTCAAAAAATGATAAGAAAATCATTGAAATCACATGTGAATTGACATTGAATGGGATACTTGGAAATAAAAGAACAAAAATCCGTAGGAGAATAACATAAAAGTGTTAGCTAAAGATAGAAAAACACTATTGAAATGCAACTTTCTACAAATTTACATATATCAACACTATTTAAATGCAACTATTGAAAAGCACTATTTTCAAGTACGCAGAGACATGTTTACATGTGCATGTGTGAACATATTTAGTTATTTACATATCACATTCATATATGTAGCTACCTGCCCTTGACCAGTTCATTTCCATAGTCATTTTGCTGAAAAAATTAATTCCTTTTTAGTCCTTACATACATGAGAAAAAAGAAGAGAAGAGAATGTTGTGAAGTTTCTTCCTTAAATTTTGGTTCTGTTATAAACACTTAAAAGAGGTTTACTGTCATCATGGTTTTTCAAGCACACATAGATATGTTCATATGTGCATATGTGTGAACATATTTGTTATTACACATCACATCCATATATGTAGCTACCTTCCCTTGACCAGGTCATTTCCATTGTCATTTTGCACAAAAATGTATTTGTGAAGTTTCTTCCTTAAATTTTTGTTCTCTATTAAGCACTTCAAAGCGGTTTCCTGTCATCATGTTTTTTCTTGAACTGAGACAGCATCAATTTAATACCCCTTTTCAGATCCATTCATTTGTCCTCGTCATGTCAGTTGAGGGGGACCACCATCTTGCATACATAGAAGACATGTACGAAGACAAGAAGGGCCGGAAAAAGGTCAAAGCTCGGTGGTTCCACCAAAACCAAGAAGTTGCAGGCATGATTTCCCCACCCCAACCCCACCTATACGAAGTATTCATAACCCCACACTCGCAAGTTCTCAGTGCCGAATGTGTTGATGGCCTTGTTCCTGTCTTGACTCCCAAGCACTATGACCAATGCTTGGCTGCACTTCCTCCCACTTTTTCAGGCCGAACCCACCTTTGCTCTCGCCAATTTGGTAATGGATCAGTTAAGCCCTTTGATGTAAGTAAACTTCATGGCTACTATAACCAAAAAATCCTCTCTTGTATTGATCTTTATACTATCTCTAAGTACGAGTTAACTTGCAAAAGCCCGATACCATATGGAGAAGAGGAAGCTGGGCATATAAAGGTGGGACCCAGAAAAAGTAGGAGTTCTAGAGGGCGTCAAAAAGGCCTGCCAGAACAAACTCAAGTTGAGGTTTTGGATACAGTAAACGGGTTAATTGGTGTGGAACCAGTTGATCAATGTTCGAGGTTTGGGAGGCATGAGGAGCCTTTTGGGGTCAAGCAAATTGGACAAGAGACTTGGGCCTCACAACTATTCAAGACTAAGGATAAGATAGAGGTACTCTGTCAAGATAGTGGGATCAGGGGCTGCTGGTTTAGGTGCACAGTTTTGGAGGTATCTCGGAAGCAGCTGAAGGTTTGCTATGATGATCTTTTAAGCGAAGATGAAAGCGGGAACTTAGAGGTGTGTTTGGGACTTTTAAGACCTCATGTTTAGAGTCCTAATGAGATAGTGAGATGCAAATTGAAAACCAAAGTCAAACTTCTTTTTGAATTGGAGTTGTATCTTTAGGGCCTGTTTGGAGGCTTGACAACTTGTTTTTCAATGGGGTAAAAAGGGCATTTTCTTGTTGCAGGGCTAGGGACATTTTGGCATTTTGTCAATGTGGGGTTACAAAAGGGAGGCATCCTTAAATAGTGGAGTGGACCAAGCTGGGTCGTATTGCACCCGTAATACTCAGCTGTCCCAATCGAGCTTTAGTTAATGAAATCAGTGGTCTAAAACTCGGCCAAGTCCACTCAGACTCAGCTGAGTTCGCCAAGCCAAGTACTAGGATTCAACTTGGGTCACTTAAAAAAATAAAAAGAAAAAAATGATAAAAATTATAGAAAAATATGGAATCAGGGTCTAAAAATTATTTCTGTAATTAGTATTTTTTTTACAATGAATTGTGAGTTTTTCTTGCCATATGCCTGTATTTATATTTTCCTTTTTTTTTTTTGGATTTTTCTAAAATGTCTCCAACCATAAATCAATTTTTTCGAAATCCATGTTTTGTATTTTTTAGCTTTTTCAGACTTTTTATGTTGCCTTTTATTTCACTTTTATGATTTCTATTTTATTTTTAGATAATTTTTTTATTATTTCTTTTTTAGGGCCTTTTTGGCACTATACGCTACTTGGCCAAGTCCACATGGACTCGGCTGAGTTACTCTCCTCGGGCGAAGGTGGAGTTGGAGGCCCGAGGTGAGTTAGAAAAACTTTGACGGAAATCACTTTGCGAAAATATACTTCAATGACCTATATAGATTGTTCCATTGGGTTTATCACCATTCAATAAAATGATGGAATGGTTATGGAGAGAGCATGTGGCACAGTAGAACAGGACATGGACCCCAACTATCAAGTTCCACACTCTCTCCATCGCTATCTATCATTTAACCAGACATGATGAACACACTGGGTTATTCCTCCGTAGTCCATTGGATCTTTGTCTTCTTTCCCAAATGATTTCACATGGAAATTTGGCATGACATTCAAAATTTTTGCTTGGGATTAGATTCATCCCGTTTAAAACACAAAACTGGTCACTTTTCGTTCTTGAGAAGATTTTACAATTTGTGAACACTGAAGCCCCATTTTTTTCTTTTGGGTATTTTGACAAGTTTTTTTGAACCATGAAACTGTGCGTGTTTTGTTTACACAGGAATGGGTACCTGCCTTCAGGCTAGCAGCTACTGATAAGTTGGGAATGAGATGCTCAGGGCGCCTCACTGTTCGTCCTTCTCCTCCAGAAAGTCTTTGTGGGAGCCCTTTCAGGATTGGGACCCCAGTTGATACTTGGTGGAATGATGGTTGGTGGGAAGGAGTGATTGTTCGGATCAGTGATGATGGAATTGATACTCTTCAAGTTTATTTCCCTGGTAGGCATGCATCTATTTTTTTTAACTCTTGTTGCTATTTTAGTGGTAACAAGGTGTCTATTTTATACATTGATGAGTCTTTGCTTATCCTAGTGCTACACAATTATTTATTTATTGGGATGGTATATTATAGTCAACACCTCAGTGGGCCATCCAGTGAATGATGGACGGTGGTGGAAAGTGGACCCACTAGAAATGGAAATGATTCCAATCGTCGTTTCCCATATTCCATCAACATCCATCATTTTATTAGATGATATTGACATATTTCTTCGTTTATTGATATTCTTGTTCTGCACTTTATTTATTTTTTTGATTGGTAGTGTTCTGCACAATTATATGCACAAGGAGTACAAGTATTGGATGATTAGTTTGGAACTTTAACTACTTGAACCTCTGAGCTTGAGGTCCATTCTAATGGATGGATCAGATAAAAGTTAAATTACAGACTATTCCTGAAAAATAGGTTACTTTGCACTGTTTGCAGGCTATTCAGTTAAGAGTAGGCAATCTTGGTTCATGAAAATCTAACATATTGTTCCTAAAGCAATATGGTTTATGTTCATTTAATATAATTTAGACTTGACTTGAGTAATCCATATGTGAAAACCATGGACTCTCTGATTCTAATTGTGTTTCTTAAAAAACTACATTTGATTGGTGTCTATTGCACCTTCTATTTTAAAGCTTTGTTTTGTCAATTTCATGGTTTTAGGTGAGGATGTGTTATTGGCCTTCCAAAGAGAAAATTTGAGGATTTCAAAGGATTGGGTGAGGAATAGATGGGTGGATGTGAAAGAGAAGCCTGACATACTATCTTCCATGACTGACATCAGCTCGTCCCCAAAGCTTCTCGCATGGTTGCAAGAAACTAGAAAGACCTATTCAAGTGCACGGACCCAATTCAGTGGTTCAAAGGATGAGGATACTTCCAGACATGATAGAGATGATGATGGTGATGATTTTGATGATGATGGTGATGATTTTGATGATGATGATGATGATGATGAAGATGAAGATGATGATGATGATGGTTTTGGTAATGATGGTAGTGATGATGGTGGTAAAGATGGTAATGATGATGATGGTGATGATGAGGAGGAGGATAAGCTGGAGTCAAAGAGGTTGAAGTTGGATAATGGAGTAGTCACAGGATTGATGGCTATTGTTGAGGTGAATTCCTAAATAATTTGAGTGGTGAATTCGCCTTGGTAGTTTGAGATTGTGAATATGTTAGTTGGGTAAGATAGATGTTGGCTGTTTTTTTTGTTTTTTCTGGGTGAGTTAGTGGGGAAATGGCCCCTACCCTTGGTAGGAATTGAACCTAGGACGTAGCATTGCAAATTGTCAAGTGCTAACCGATTAAGCCTGGGCTCTTTTCCTAACAGCTGTTTGTTTGAATTCATGAATCCCGATGAAAGAGGTTTTAGGTAATCTTTGAATGTACATAAGTTAGTTGTTGACAGCTGGGAAACGTAGAAGTTTGGGTATTGGGGAGGGGTGTGGTTTTGTCTACATTGAAAGTTCCATTACAAACTCGCAAATTTAGAAGAAAAGACTCGTGAAGAATAAATTCATGTGCTTGTGTCATGAGTGGGGTTCCTTCTTGTTTTGTCTCTCAAGAGAGAGAGAGAGAGAGACAGAGACAGAGAGAGAGTTTCGTTAATGGACTTGGTATCTTTCGAAAGGCATATAGAGAAAAGAACAGCTAGGTAGAGTCTACCTCGATTTCCTTGTTCACAGTTCGCACTCTTTGTAAAGCTCCCCACTGCAAACGCATATTCCATTTATTTACCTGATGCAAGTTCAGTGCCAGAGCAGTACAGAATGTTTGTTAAGGTTGAAATGTCAACTTACCCACCGAAAAAGAGTATAGTAGGACACTTTGAATCGTTGATCATAGCAGTCATAGAGTTTGGAGGGTGATGGGGGAGGTGGGTCCCACTCTAACATGTCATTACTGACTTGTGTATGCTACGCTTAGTCATGGTTAGCCAGTAGCCAACAAATACGACTTTTTTTCAATAAAGTGTTTTTTTTTTAATTAGATAAGAACTTCAAATTTTTTTAAAGGGTACAGTTTGTATAGATTCTAGGCTTTAAACAATCAAATTAGAGCCTAGCTTCAAAGAGCGTCGGGTCGGGAAATGTAGTTTCAATATTGAAAATCTATGATAGCTTCAAAATATATTTTCATCTATTAAAAAATAGTGTAGATCGAACATATCTATGAAAATTTGAAAATCTTGAAAGTTGACGGTCTAAAAATACATTACAAAATATACTATTTCCAAAACTTGAAATCCATTTTTTTTTCTCATGTCTCTATGCATCTTGATGTGGAGATGATCAATTTGAAGATATTTGGGCATCAAACGAACCTTTTTTAGTGAAATTTTTGAGGTAGGCTTTAATTTGATTGTTTAGAGCTTCGGCTCTATATAAACTTTACCCTTTTTAAAAGATCTTCTAAAAATCACATTTCTTTCATTTGACCTTTTTCCATAAAAACGACTTTTTAAAAGAATCTCTTCCTTTTAACTTATTGATACTTTATTCTCTTTATGTATTTGACATCTTTGAATTTGGATAATGAGATAAGCGTATTAAAAGTATGATTAATTCAAGAATCCTGATTTAACAAATAAATTTTACCACAAGTATTTACTAACATAATCCCTTAAAAGACTATTAAAAACAAAGAAAACACGAGCAATGTATTACTAGAAGAAAATTATTTACCAAATCAATTGTGTATTGCGGATTACAGGTAGAGGAAAAGTGGCCTAATGAAAAATCTTCATTTCTCTTAACTAAGGGCATCAGTCGTTCATTATAGGTAAAGATTTTGGTATGTAAAGATTTCATTATAGGTAAAGATTTAGATAGTTAGGAATTCGAGGTTTTCATTATCATAGTCTTTTTTCAACTATTTGAAGTCGGTTAAGAATTCAAATTGAAATTCAAATATACACATATTGTTGAGTGCAAGTAAACATTTATTGGTTTCTTTTTGTATAATGCAGAACATTGATTGATTTCACCTGTATGATTTTTTTATTATTTAATTGGTGTATACGACACAATAATTTGGATGGACAATTGATTCACATTTTTTGGTTTTTTGTATTTTTGTTAACTTACATTTTTATATTGAGGATCATTTTTTTTTGGGAAATTATCAGAAATATACTTTAGATTTTGCTTAATTAGAAAAAAAAAAACTAATTTTTTCATTAATCTCATATGTTATTTTTTTTTCTCACTTTTAACGTTTATTTTCATTAAAAAATCTTTCACGGTAGTGATGCAAAAAAGCGTCATTATGGTACTTTAAGTGCCGTAATGCTTTTAAAGAAGTCATGCCCACCGGCTCAGATTATGGCCTAGAGCCTTGGCCTCTGCAATTCACTGTTTTCTCTCTTAAATCTAGGCCTGCAACTCTATGTTTCTCTCTCCTAAATTCCTTCTTCAGTGTGTCGCGTTGATTTCGACATTGGGTTGGCCTTCAGTTCTTGGAGTTTTATAGGAAGCTGAAACTGCCCAGTCATAGCGAAAGCATTTGTGCCCATGTTGAAGAAACTTCTCACCCCAGGCTTCCAATAACACCATTAGCTTATCTGAAGCCTCAAACAAACGTAATGCATTAGCTTAAGCCCTCTCCTTCTTCTTCTTCCCCAATTTGGCCTGAGCACACCCAATGTTTTTTTTTTCTCAAATTGATAGGCTATATTACCAAAAATTAATACATGGGGATTTTCAAATATGAAATAGTGGAGCTCCACAGTCCCCCGGCAATCACTACTAGGGCGCCTTTGGAAAGACGTAACTGGACCTCTCCCTCTATGCTTCTTCTTCTTTCTCAATGCTCAGTACTCTCATGGACAGATAAATGACCAATATCTCTCCCCCCTCCTTTCCCTACCCATAGTTTTTAAACAAGACTTGCAATTCGCCACTTTCACTCACCTTCTCTGGAGTCTACTCTTCCGCTTCCACTTTTGATCTTCTCTCGATTATTACGGTAAAAATTTATCATGATGCTAAAAGGCATCATTAAGTACCGTATAATCTTTGAAAAAAAGAAAAAAAAAAAAAAAAAGGGAGAAATTATCAGATATATACTTTAATTTTTGCATAATTAGAAGAAAAAAAAATCTATACTTTCATAAACTTCATGTATACTCTTTTTTCTCATTTTTTATGTCTTTTTTATCAAAATAGCATTCATGGTTACCATGAAAGAATAATGCATCATAGTACTTAAAGTGCCGTAATAACTTTCAATTTTAAACCTTGGCTTACACAATTCTTGTTATTTGTAAATGTAATTGTTGTATTTAATATTGTTGTTATTTCATTGTGCGCTTCAAATAAATATGTGGTATGTTTTGTGTTATGACAACTGAGTTAACATTTTTGTTGTATTTAATAAAGATTTAGTAAAAAATTTGTCAAGTATTACCTAAAAGGGTGTGGTTTGTATAAGGTTACAACCTTAAACAATCCAATTAAAGGTGAATCTCCAAACTTTATCATAACATGTAATTTTGGTGTAAACAATTCTTAAGATTATCTGAAAATCTATTTTTATTTTTAATTACAAAATTTTAAACTCCAAAAAATATTAAAATCAAGTAGATCTATAAGCATATGAAAATCTCGAAAATAGACAGTCTAGATAATGTGTTGCAAGATGCACTGATTCAAAGACTCAATTTTTATTTTATTTTTTCATATTCATACATCTCGATGTCGAGATGATCAATTAGAGGGTTTTTAACATTAAAACAACCTTTTTCGATGGATTTTGATGTGCATTTTTAGTTCTACATTTTAAGGTTGCAACCTTATATAAACTTTTTCCTTACCTAAATTATACCAGATAAGGATACAAAATTATTATTTAATAACTTTAGTTTATCTATATAATAATAACCATAAATGATAATTTTATCCTATATTATCTTTATATATTTGGTTTTCTTAACTCTAATTTCTTAGCTAAATCTTAAATATTCAAGATTATTTAATTAATTAATTTTTGACAATCCATTTTTTATCGCTTTTCTTGCCTCTGACTTTTTAGAATAAAACCGATTTATTAACACTGTTGTATTGTTATTCCCCAACTTGCGAACTATGCTCTCAGTCACCATCCAATCCATTAATTGGATGGGAGAAAAAATAAGTTTTTTAAGTACTTCTTGGTCATCAATTTTAAATTTTTAACTTCTACTCTTATTATTAATAAACTTGCATTGCATATGTTGTCTTAATCTGGCTAATTTTAGAACATTTTGTTTCTAGGCAGTCCTCCAAAATTCTAACTTTGCATTGATGTCATCTCTACTCTCATAAATCAAAGCTATATCATCCACACATAACATATACTATAGTGCTTCATTCTGTATATGAGCTCAATGCTGACCCCTGATAAAAGCATACTATCACTAAAAACTCACTTCTCTCAATTAGTTGTCCTCACATCAGTTAGTGCTCCCTCATATACGGCTCTCACTATGTCAATATATCTTTCAGAGACTTCTTTCTTTTTATGTCGAAACTAATAAAGAGTATGTAGAGGTGTTTTCTATTTTCCCTTAACTTCTTAACAATTGTCTAAGTAGGAAAATAACCTCAATTGTTGACATTCACCGAATTGATTTTTTGTTACACACATTTCATATATCGTAGTCGTTACTCAATCATTCTGTCCCATAGCTTAACAATGCTGCTCAAAATTTGGTTTCTCGATAGTTCATATAATTCTCTATGTCTCATTTTTTTTTATAAATAGGTATCATGATACTTGTTTTTCCATTCGCCTAACATTATCTTTGTTCTCAAAATCATGTTAAACATCTTGGTCAATTAAGATATGCTAATCTCTCTCAAACACTTTAAAACCTCTATTGGGATATCATTTGGTCCTAAAGCATTTTCTATCTTTATCTTTCTCAAAGATTATGCAGATGTATTTATGACCTCGTTTATGCCAAAGGTTCATTTTCCTTACGACTAGAGCTTAAAAAACATCCGGTGGCTGCCTGTTCAGCTGATTTCCTTAAAAAGCAGAAAAATTAAAAGTAAGAAAAATATAAACCCTTTGAAAAAGGTCAAAGGAAAATAAGAAAAAGAAGAAGAGAAAATGTAAACCTAAAGTCTTTGAAACAAATCTCTGATGCTTTTCAAAAAGGTCGAAAAAACTAAGAAAATGAAAGGAAAGTAACGGAAAGTGCAGGATCGTACTTGAAGAAATGATTGAATAAAACTTAAACCATTTGAGAAACGATTGAAAAAAGATAGAAAAACCCTGGTTTTTTCAACCGATTGAAGAGGTATCCGTTGAATCAGTAAAAAATGATTAAAAAAACCAAAGTATTCATCAAACCGACTATTTCAATAGTTTTTTCATCCACAGACATATTAAATCGTCTTGACCAATGCTTTAAAAATCGGCGAGTTGAACCGGACTCGTCCGGTCCGACTCGGGATTCGGCACAGCCCGTACCGGTTCCAGCACAAAACCGGGAACCGCCTAGTTCTATAGCTCAACCACCGGTTCTCACCCGGTTCTGTCCGGTTCC